ATGAATCCAGCTTCTTCAATGTATAAATAAAGATATCAAAGCCAAAGAATTTAGTTCCCTCATTAGCACTGTTGTTGGTTGCCCCTTTGAGCTCTGTAGACTCCCAAGTCATTGCCCTGCTCACTATACCATACCACCTCCTACCCCCAAATTAAGATTCAGTGAGAATGCCATTGGGTTTTGGCATATGGCAAGCACAGAAAGCACTTACCTTGCTGAATTCAGCATCGTGATCATAGCCAGGTCCTGAAATTAGACATAATCATTCATTCATTCAACATTATTTTGAGACAGGGTCTCACTCTTCACCTAGGTTGGAGTGCAGGGGCATGATCATAGCTCATTGCAACCTTCAACTCCTGGGCTTAAGTGAGCCTCCTGCTTCAGCCTCCCACGTAGCTAGGATTACAGGTGTGTACCATCCAGCTAATTATTTATTTTAGACATGGGATCTTGCTTATTGCCCAGGCTGGTCTTGAATTCCTGGGCTCTGCCTCAGCCTCCAAAAGTGCTAGGATTACAGGTGTGAGCCACTGCACCCAACCATTCATTCAACATTTATCTGTTGAATAAATATTTAGAAAATACTATTCCAAACTCTAGTGATAAAACAGTGAACAAAACAGACAGAAATCCTTGTTCTTATCAAACTTTCATTTAGTGATAAGAAAACCACCCAAGCTAGCAAGTGGCAGGATGAGGGTTTGAACTCGGGCAGGATGGCACCTGCCCCTGCAGACTTGGCAGGGGACATACCCATACACTCATGGCATCAGCATCATTCACTCAGCACATATGTGTGGCGCTTCTGCTGTCACCAAGTGGTGTCACCAAGGACAGGGAGGTGAGCAAAATACTTCCATCCCTGCGTGGAGCCTATTTTCAGGTAGGTGAGATGGAGGAGAAAAAAGAAAGCAAACCGTAAATGAAGAGAAATGTTCGCAGACTGTGACAGGTGCCATGAGGAAGTAACACGGTGGAAAGAGTGATGCTCAAAGCGTTTTCAGCAATTGCCTATTGTAGAGTCCTAGAGACCATGAGCAAGCCCAAGCCATGAAGAGGGTGGGAGTTCTGTTGAATATCTTGCGAACTGACAGTGAGATGTGTAGTGTTGAGATGAGCTCAGGAGCGTGGAGAGGAGCTACAATGAGACAAACAGACCCGGCCCTCGCGGGCATCCACCCACCTTGGTTCCTTTGGCACCTTCACTGTAGTCTTGTATTTCCTAAACAAATCTACAGTTTTGCAGAAGTGTTATAAAATGACCCACGTATGCCTTAATAGGGTCTTAAAAATATTTTTCTGAACTGATTCTCATAAGGCATTTTTTAACTTATTGTGACTTTCTGGATTTCTGGAACCCTGCCTTGGCTCAGGCTCTCGGTGATTAAATGCCACAGAACAGTGTGTCCTAAAATGTCCGTGGTTGCTTGCAGAGAGGAAATATTAGTGTTCCCGCACTCCAGAAAAAACAAAACTTTGCTGTCTGAGCACCAGCAGGCATTTTTTTTCTCATCTACATACTTAATCTGGCTTTAAAATATTTTTTT